AGAGAAGCAATTCCCAAATCAGAATCACCTGTGGAACTTTTTGGACACATCAAGCACCAGCTCGGGCCCACTGAACTGCACTTTCTGGAATCTGTTTTTAACAAACTCTCCAAGTGACCATGACCACCAGGTGGATTTGAGAATCTCTCTAGTGGGTGACTCTATGACCATGTCTGTGCTGCTCCAAGGCTGCAGGGAACACTTTGCCCTGCCTTACAGAAGGAAGAGGCCGAGAAGACAGGCGGTTCTGTTTTCATCTATTTAATAAAAAGGAGAAGGCAGCCCTGTAAGCCTCAAATGCAAACCATTCATACATTCATTTGAAGGGATGCATTTGGGTGTGCCGCGCACCTGCCCAGGAGAAGTGTCTGAGCACCCCGAAGGAAGAACACACAGCACTCGACTCAGGGACCTGGAATGCAACCTTGGAAACAGGTCACCTTTGTGCCAGCTCAACACAACACCCTCCACCACAGAGCAAAGGCCTGTGAGATCATTTTGTCAGGAAAATATGCTAGCATTATCTTCCACTCTATTAGGAATCTAAGTTAACTGGAAGGATGACAGAGCAAATAGAAATATGCCCTGAATTATTCACAGATCTGGGGAAATCCTAATGGAATATCGTAATAAAAAACTTTCATTTTTTAAAAAATAGTTTGAATAATAGAAAATCACCTGTTTTTTCCTTGAGGAAACTAAAAGTACTAGGTTAGGACGGAAACTGACTTTCTCAGTAGGTCATCTCCATGGACATTTATTCATTTACTCAACAGAAATGTGAGCCCTCACCAAGTGCTGGGCCCTGTGCCGGGGGCTGGGGCTTCACAGTTAACAAGACAGATGGACCTGCCCTCGAGGAGCCTGCAGTTCAGTAAGAGAGCCCAACAGCAACCAAGCCAACCTACCAGGGAGTGGGACTGTCCAACTGCCCTAGGTGTCAGCAAGGAAAAGAACTGAGTAATCTAAAAAAAGAGCATGGGTGGGAGGGGTGGGGGTCCTGCTGGACACCGGGTGCTCACAAAGGCCTCTGAGAACAATTACAACCAAGCAGAGGCCTGAAACGTGAGAGGAGCTAGCCAGAGACAGAACAGGGAGTTGAATTCCAGCAGGGAAACAGCACGTGGAACGGCCTTGAGGTAGAAGGGAGCTAGGATCAACTGTGGAAAACAAAGGTCAAAGAGGCTAAGAGCACAGAGAACAAAGGGGATAGAGGTGGGAGGTGAGGTCGAGAGCAGTGGGAGGTGATACAGGCTGACCAGCCATCTCTGTTTCCTGGGACATTGGACTTTCAGTGGTAAGACCAAGAAAAACCCGGACAAAGAAGAACAAACCGGTCACACTGGCAGTGAGGTCAGAAAGGATGAACGGGAGGGGTGGGAGGTAGGACCAGAAAGCCCGGTGGGCACAAAGCACTGAGAACTTTACAGACCTCAGACAGGAACCTGGCGCCGGGAAGTCACTGAAGGTTTCAAGTCAGGAAGTGGCATGGTCCAGTTCATGTTGTTCAGTGTCTACAGAATGGAATGGAGGGAGCAGGAAGGGACAGGAGGAAACCTGTTGAAAGTGGCTGTGGTCATCCAGTGAGAGCAACTTGGACCAGGGTGGCAGTGGAGACAGAGAGAAGTAGGCGCATAGGGCAGAGGCACAGCTGTATGGCCATCTGGGCACCTCCCTCAACCCAAAGGTCCCGGGGAAAGCAAGGAGTAGAGAGCACATAGTGTGTGTTCCTGGAGCGAGGAGGACAAGCATAAGCCAAGTGCCTGTCTCCTGTGTCCTGCAGGAACAATGACAACTCATGAGTGACTCGCGCCATGCAGCTGGCAGGTGAGCGCCTAAGGGCAGGCGACACAGCAGGTGTGAGAGCAGCTCTTTGGAGGAGGGTCTCTACCCAGAAGGAGGATGACAAGGTGATTACAGGGAAGTTTCTGGAGCCACATCTCAGTGAGAGCCCAAAGGCCGTTACCCCAGGTGCAGGCACTGTCCCGATGACCTTCAGAGTTTGTGTTTTGTGTATCTTCCTCCTTAAGGTGGCGTGCCTGTGCCTGAGCATAGAAGCTGGTCTGTTTGTTAGGAGAAAAGGTGGAAAGACATGAGGGAAAACACCGTTACCATCTGACTGAATAAGAAAGAAGATGGAAGGGAAAGTGACGTCATCAAGTATGTGGAATAGGAGTTTTCTGTCATTCTCCCAAAGAACATCAATTTTGACAACCACCCACGGACAAGAGTACCTTTGTGGAAGTGCAGAAGTCTCCTGGAGAAGTTCCAGCACACTGTTGGAGCAAAAGAAAACTCTGAGATTGGACACATTGAAGAAGGTAAGAGGAACAGCTTCACTTTACCTGCATCACTGACCGCCTGAGGCGGCACAGCTCAGTGCCGAGAGGGACCCTCTCAGCGCACAATTTCTCCCACAGCAGAAAGTGAGAGGGTGTGAGTGAGCACCTGGCTTCCCCAGCTGTGGGACACTGCCAAAGGGGCTCCTGTTTGCTCACACCACCCAGATTACTGAGGTGCTGCATGAGTGGGGGTGGGAAGGGGCTAGGAGGACAGCAGCCAGGGCTCTTGGAGGGCATCAAAGGGATGTGGGTCCCACCAGCTGCTTTGCCCATTAACCACTAGGGATGCTTCACCTGCAGATCCCCCAATCTGGCCGACGGACACCCTCAATGCTCCCGCACCTCACTCACATACCCCCTCACCCCATGGCCAGCTCCTTGTGTGCGTTACTGAGGGCAACAAGTGCAAGCCTTTGCAGGCAGCTAGTGATCATCACAGAAAGCCAACTCAACTCTGTAGAATTGGGAGAAATCACACAGTTTTGACATTCAGCACTGCCTTAGCGAAAGCAAAAAGGAGGCTGTCAGCACCTGGCGTGGCTTTGCAGGATTGACAGAAGGCATATAATCTTAAGAATTCCCCCCCAAGAGGGAATAAGAAGTGTGGAACAGGTATATGCACAGAAAAGGTCTAAGAAAGCCTCAGAATCTCCAGCAGGGCAGAAAGAAGATATTTCTTTCCCAAAACCAATCAATAAGGACTGGAACAGGTGACTGCTTCTTCAAACGTGAAGACAGCAACACAAGACTTCACGGAACATGGAAAATCAAGGAAACATTTCACCACCAAACCAACACAATAATTTTCCAGTAACTGACACCAAAGAAATGGAGATCTGTAATTTGTTTAATAAAGAATTCAAGGGCCGGCCCCGTGGCTTAGCAGTTAAGTGCGCGTGCTCCGCTGCTGGCGGCCCGGGTTCGGATCCTGGGCGCGCACCGACGCACCGCTTCTCTGGCCATGCTGAGGCTGCGTCCCACATGCAGCAACTAGAAGGATGTGCAACTATGACATACAACTATCTGCTGGGGCTTTGGGGAAAAAAAGGGAGGAGGATTGGCAATAGATGTTAGCCGGTCTTCCTCAGCAAAAAGAGGAGGATTAGCATGGATGTTAGCTCAGGGATGATCTTCCTCAAAAAAAAAAAAAAAAAGAATTCAAAATAGTCGTTTTAAGGAAGATCAGTGAGCTATAAGACAATACAGAAAGATAATTCAATGAAATCAGGAAAACAATACATGGACAAAATGAGAATTTTAACAGAGAGATAGAAATCATTTTAAAAAAAAGAACCAGGGACCGGCCCTGTGGTTTGGTGGTTAAGTGCGCGCGCTGCGATGCTGGCGGCCCGGGTTCGGATCCCAGGTGCGCATCGAGGCACCACTTCTCTGTCCATCCTGAGGCCGAGTCCCACATACAGCAACTAGAAGGGTGTGCAGCTATGGCATACAACTATCTACTGGGGCTTTGGGGACAAAAAATAAAATAAATAAAAATCTTTAAAAAAAGAACCAAAGAGAACTTCTGGAGCTGAAGAATTAAATGAATGAAATAAAAAATGCAATGAAAAGCATCAACAGCAGACTTGATCAAGTGAAAAGAAAAAAATCTATGAACTGAGAGATAACTGAAATTATTCAGTCAGAGGAAAACAAAGAAAAAGGAATGAAAAGAAGTGAAGAAAGCCTATGTGTACTATGGGCTACCATTAAGCAAAATAATTTATGCATTCTTGAAATCCCAGAAGGAGAAAAGAGAGAGAAACAGGCAGAAAGCTTATTTAAAGAATTAATGGCTGAGAACTTCAAACACCTGAGGAGAGATCTGGACATCCAAGTTGATGAAGCTCATAGGTCTTGAAACAAATTCAACCCAAAGAGATCTTCTCCAAATGCATTATAATAAAACTGTCTAAAATCAAAGACAAAGAATTTTAAAAGCAGAAGGAGAAAAAAAATTTGTCACATACAAGGGAACCTCCATAGGCTATCAGCAGATTTCTTAGCAGAAACCTTTCAGGCCAGGAGAGACTGCAATGATATATTCAAAGTGATGAAAGAAAAAACCTGCCAACTACAAATGCTTTACCAGTAAAACTGTTCTTCAGAAATGAAGGGGAGATAAAGACTTTCTCAGACAAACAAAAGCTGAGGGAGTTCATCATCACTAGACCTTGAAGGAGTTCTTCAAGTAGAAATGAAAGAATGCTAATTAGTAACATGAAAAATGAAAATATAAAACACATTGGTAAAGGTAAGTACATAGTAATATTCAGAATAGTCTAATGCTGTAATATAGTAGTATGATAATCACTTAATTCTAGTACAAAGGTTAAAGAACAAAAGTATTAGAAAGAACTATGGCTATAATAATTTGTTAATGAATACATAATATCAAAAGATGTAAACTATGACATCAAAAACATAAAATGTTGTGGGGGAAATAAAAGGGTAGAGATTTTGTGTGCAATTGAAGTGAAGTTGTTATCAGCTTAAAACAGACTGTTATATCTGTAAGATGCTTTATATAAGCCTCAGGGCAACCACAAAACACAAATCTACAGTAGATATGCACAAGATAAAGAGTTTTTATGCACAAGATAAAGACTTTCTTTTCCATAAATATCTTTTTTTTACTATAACATTCAACTTTTTTTTCACATAAAGCCTTCAATGGTCTTACTTATTACATCAAGTTTTTCTTTATAACTTTAAAAAAAGTACCTTTTAGATTTACAGCTTGTGCTTCTAAAGCAAAAGTTAGAACATCATGCCCAAAACGAAAACAAGGTAAAAAAGACGCTGCCACATAAGCTCTTAAAAATTGTATGTTACAAAGTTCTAAAATCTCTCCAGCACTGGTTGGTTGGTTGGTAGATACATCAGAGTTTGCCACTATGGACAATCATCATCAAATCACAAAGAAGACAGCCAGAGAGGAAGAAAGGAAGAGAAGAACTACAAAACAGCCAGAAAACAATTAATAAGATAGCACTAGTAAATCCTTACCTATCAATAATTACTTTAAATGTAAATTAATTAAATTCTCCTATCAAAAGGCATAGAATGGCTGAATGGATGAAAAAAAAAAAAGGCTCAACTATATGCTGCCTACAAGAGACTCACCTCAGCTTTAAGGACACACATAGGCTCAAAGTGAGGGGATGGAAAAAGATATTCCATGCAAATGGAAACCAAAGGAAAGCAAGGGCAGCAATACTTATATCAGACAAAATTGACTTTAAGTCAAAAACTATAACAAGAGGCAAAGAAGGTCATTATATAATGAAAAAGGGAGCAATTAATCAAGAAGATACAACAATTATAAATATATATGCACCCAACATCAGAGCACCTAAATACATTAAGAAAATACTAACAGATCTGAAGGGAGAAACAGACAGCAATAAAGTAATGGTAGGAAACTTCAATACTCCCGCTTTCAATAATGGATACCTCATCCAGACAGAAATATTTCCAATAAGGAAATATTGGACTTGAACTATAGTTTAGGCCATATGGACCTAACAGACAGAACATTCCATTTAATGGTCTCAAATTATATTCCATCTAATGGTCTCAAATTATAGGCCAATATCCCTGATGAGTATATATGTAAAAATTCTCAACAAAATACTAGCAGAGTTCATCAACACATTAAAAGGATCATATACCAGGATCAAGTTGGCTTTATCCCCGGGGTGCAAGGATGGTTCAACATACGCAAATCAATAAATGCGATACATTAACAGAATGAAGGATGAAAATCACACAATTATCTCAATAGATGCAGAAAAAACACTTCATAAAATTCAACATCCTTTCATAATAAAAACTCTCAACAAATTATGTAAAGAAGGAATGTACCTAAACATAATAAAGGCAAAATATGACAAGCTAAAATCATACTCAACAATCAAGAATGATCAGGAACAAGACAAGGGTGCCCATTCTTGCCACTTCTATTCAACACAGTACTGGAAGTCCTAACCAGAGAAATTAGGCAAGAAAAATAAACAAAAGGTATCCAAATTGGAAAGGAATAAGTAAAACTGTCTCTGTTTATAGATGACATGATCTTATATATAGAAACTAGTAAACACATTCAGTAAAGTTGTGCAGGATACAAAATAAATATACAAAAATCATTTGTGTTTCTATACATTAATACCAAACTATTGGAAAGAAAAAATAAGAAAACAATCCCATTTACAACAGCATCAAAAACAACAAAATACTCAGGAATAAGTTAAACCAAGGAGGTGACAGACCTGTACATGAAAATCTATAAGACATCATGGAAGCAATTGAGGAAGACACAAATAAATAGATAGATAGCCCATGTTCATGGATTGGAAGAACTAATATTGTTAAAATGTCCATACTACTCAAAGTGATCTACAGATGCAATGCATTACTTCTCATAGTGCCAATGGAATTTTTCACAGAAATAGAAAAAACAATCCTAAGGTTTGTAAAGAACCACAAAAGACCCCAAAGAGCCAAAGCAATCTTGAGAAAGAACAAAGCGGAGGCATCCCACTCCCTGATTTCAAACTATATCACAGAGCTATAGTAATCAAAACAGTATGGTACTGGCATAAAAATAGACATATAGATCAATAGAACACAATAGAGATATCAACCTACACATATACAGTCAACTAATCTTTGACAAATGTGTCAAGAACACACACACAATGGGAAAAGGATAGTCTCTTCAAGAAACAGTGCTGGGAAAACTGGACAGCTACATGCAAAAGAATGAAACTGGACCACTTACACCACTCACAAAAATAACTCAAAATGGATTAAAGACTTAAGTGTAAGACAACCATAACACTCCTAGAAGAAAACAGGGAAAAAGTTTCTTGACATTGGCCTTGGCAATGATTTCTTGGATTTGACACCAAAAGCACAGGCAACAGAAGCAAAAATAAACAAGCAGGACTAACTCAAACTAAAAAGCTTCTGCACAGCAAAAGAGACAATCAATAGAATGAAAAGGCAAACTATGGAATAGAAAAAAATATTTGCAAACCATATATGTGATGAGTGGTTAATATCCAAAATATATAAGGAACTTATGCAATTCAAAAAAACAATAGCAAAAAAACAAAATAACCCAATTAAAAAATAAGCAAAGGACCTGAATAGACATTATTGCAACGAAAACATACAGATGGCCAACAGGTACATGAATAGCTGCTCCACAACAGTAATCTGCAGGGAAATGTAAATCAAAACCACAAAGAGGTATCACCTCACATGTGTTAGGGATGGCTATCATCAAAAAGACAAGAGAGGAGTGTTGGCAAGGATGTGGAGAAAGGGAATCCTGTGCACTGTTGTTGGGAATATAAATTGGTGCAGCCACTATGGAAAACAGTATGGAGGTTCCTCAAGAAATAAAAAATAGAAATACCTTATGATCCAGCAATCCGCCTTCTGTGTATATATCCAAAGGAAACAAAATCAGTATCTGAAAGAGATACCAGCACTCCCATATTTATTCCAGCATTATTGACAATAGCCAACATACGGAGACAAGCTAAGTGTCTGTTGAGGGAAGAATGGATAAAGAAGATGTAGTATTTTAAATTTTATTTAATTTTAATTAATTTAGTCACATGTGGCTACGTAGCTACTATATTGGACAGTATAATTCTAAAAGGTCTGACATCCTGGGTAGAAACTAAGAGACTTGGGGATATGTGGGGTGTCGTCATCTCTTCCTTCAATTTAAGGTGAGCTTTATGAGAGGAAGACCCTGGCCTTCTCTGGCCTGCAACCCCAGGATGCTCGAAATGCAGGACTTCAACCGGGCAGTTGAAAGTAAAAGGCAGGCAGGTACTCAGCTAAAACTGTTGATCAATATATGTGACACAGGAAGGACTACAAAGGAGAAAAGTTCCCATAATTTTCCAAAGAAATTAACTGTGAGCTGGCGACAGCCCTCACAACTTCAATCTCAACGAGCAAGAGCACTAAATGGGCCTGCACACCTCACTAGGAAGGAAACTCTGGGACAGGCAGCCAGGCCACCACAGCAGGCTGTGACGGGCCACCGAGTCCAGGAAACAGGTGACCTGCTCTAAGGAGGTGACTGGGAATAGTTGACGAAGAGACAGGGTTGAGGGGCTGGAGAAGCACCCTGGAGCTGGCAACAATAGGATGCTGTTACCCCGCCAGGCCTGAAGAGGTAGGGGGAGGGAGGGTTACTGGAAAAACTTAGAAATAGCTGTAGGAGAGGGCTGCCTGACAGGGGCTGTGGGCTTCGCCTTCACAGAAGCAAGGAGCCAGGGGAACCCTGCCCTGGTTCTTTCAGCCCTCACATCGCCTGCAGGGGCCTCCCGTTATCCGAGCCTAACAAAAAGCAGGAAGCAAGTGCACACAGGTCAGCCTCCTTCAGGGCAGAGAAAGGTGGAGAGGAGATCTGGACAGGCTAATGGGATGGAATGAGTGAGTGGTAAGAAAAAGGGGGATTAGAACAAGAATGGTGTTCAGAGCAGGACTGTGAGTACGAGACCCACTGTGTGAAGAGGGTGCCACAGCTCAGTTCCTCCTTCCTCTGTTGTCATGGCCAGGCAGTCCAGTGGGGGCTATGAATCCTGACTCCACTAACTCCTAACGGAGTGATTTGTGTTACGTTCCTGTTGGGCGACAATCCTCTGTGGTCCCTGGTGTTTCTGCACATCTTGTGAGCAAAAGTGACTGCCTTTGCTCTGGGACTATATTTCCGAGGAAGTTTAAATATCAAACAACTTTGGAAGAGAGAGAGAGTGTCTCTCTCCAGAGCAAAGGTCAGGCATGATAAAAGATTTGCCTTCTCAGGATTCTTCTGTAGCACGACCTGCTGTGTGTGAAGTGTCACCTGCCCTCTGTGTCACCTGTAGAAATTGGGGTTCAGGGAGTTGACACCAGCTTCACTATTGCTGTAATAACACTCAGTCCTGTCTCTGAACCCCGGCTCTCCTGTGTTCTGCCGGCGTCCAGGAGACTGTGTGGCAGGCTGACCAGTTACTTTGTAGATAACGGTGAGATCTCATACCCTTTGCAGCTCTGGGCAGTTACCTCTTCTCTATAAGTCTCAAGTTCCTCAGCTGTAAAATGGGAATAACAAGAGGGCTGTGTGATTACAAGAGTTGACACACATAAAGGGCTTAGAGTAGCTTTTGGACATGGTTAGGTGCTCAAATTAAGTCAGTTATTTTATCTACTCCTATAAGGCAAATGTTTCAAATTCAAAAAAAAGGCAAAAGAAACATTGTAAAAGGGGACTTGAAGCCCACGTTAGGTGAAGGGTTCTCTGATCATGAACTGAAGTTTCAAAGTCCTGAAATAACTTAAAGATGTGATTGCAGAATAGATTTACCATTGATAACTTTGAAAAATATTCTGAAAAGAAGAGATAGGACAGAAAACCAAACATGTCAAAAATCCCAGGTTCAAAAAGATGGATTGCAGACACCTCAGACAGGCCAGTTAGATGTGGATTCCTGAAAACTTTCTAGAATAGACGTTCGAACAGATGCCTCGTGAGCCTGTGGAAAAGAACACAGCGATCACTGGAAGCAGCATGAGTTCACAAGTAACGCATTGTGCCGTACTAATATTTTTTCTGACAGCATCACTGGATTAATCACCAAAATCCTGTGAAAACAGTATAGCATGATTTTAGCAAGAATGGGAATGTGGGAAGGAGGGATGTGGGTTGAAAGAGACATAACTGATGCATCTGTGACCTGATGGAAGATTTCCAATGGAGTGCCAGCTTCACCCTGTGCAGCATGTCTAGCCAAGACTTGGAATAAAGACATAGAAAACATGTCTGAAGATGTCACAGAGCTGGGAGGAACAGCCAGCATGACATTTGAGATATTTCAATAGACCAGACCACAGGCTGAGCCCAACAGGAACACAGTTAAGCTCTTCATTTGGGTTCTTCACTGGCCACACAGTGATGATATGGAATAAACCTGGGATTTCAGCTATCTGCAGGCTCAACGTGAGCCAAAGACATGATGCGAATGCGAATACTGAAAGAGAGTTTCGGTCACATTTTGCTGCATGACCTCAGTAACACGGCCTGGCGCCCTGAGTGTGCGCTCAGCGCCTTGTGTACAGCTCTCGTTTAACCCTTACAACCACGCTCCAGGATTGCACAGATGGGGACAGAGGTTTGGAGAGCTGAAGGAACAAATAAACTGTGCTGAGGTCACACAGCAAGTCAACAGCACAGCCAGGATCCAACCCCAAGTCTGTGCAACCCCCCTTAGCCTGCTGAGACCACTACACCACTGTCCAAATCCAGGGGCCTTGGTCACACCACACTGGCAGAGCTGCATTCAGTTCTCGAGGTCACTTTCGAGGCCATGTCACATGAGAAACTACTGAGAAACAACAAATCAGCTTAGAGAAGATGGAGGGGGGAGACATCGTGGACCCTAAACACACTATCACGATGTACAGACCTCCGAGGGTCTGGCCCCTGCTCGCCTCTCAGTCTTGCCTTTGTCAACGTTCCTACATGGGCCCCTGGTCTTCCCAAACCCGGTCCTACTGATCCGCGGGCAGTTGTCTGGACCTCCCCTGCTCTCACACCCGAGGCCCTGCACTTATCTCACCCTCCTCAGGGCGCACCGCTTTACCTGGTCAACTCAACCTCGTCCTACAGATCTCAGCTGCCCCTGAAGGCCGCCTCCTCGGACCCACGCTCGGGCCCAGGCCATCTTCCTGCTGCAGGGGGGCTGTCAGCTGAAGCCCCTTCAACAGACACCCCAGTACATTTCCTGCTTGATGACAGAGGCTCTAACTCACCAACCCTCAGGGAAGAGTCAAAACAAGAAAAGTTATTTTAAGGCCCCCTAGAAATATGAAATATATTATCAAAATTAATTTAACAAATCTAAAATATCATCATAAATACTTTCACAATGGAAATTTAAGGTGTGTCTTCCAGAACGTCTAAAAATTTAATGCACTGGTGACTGTACCCCAGGAGAGAACAAAAACATTAGCAGCAACTGCGGGAGGCAGACCCCCCCTCAAAACAGTGATTTTTCTATCTCTAATATGATCGATGGGAGGCTCTACCTTTGATATTATTCCATGTTTTCTGAGATGGGGTTCTTTACCCTTATTTTTAAAAGACCCAAACCAGTAATGACTTGCAAATTAAGAATGCTGAAAGTGCCTGGCTGAAAAAGGGCAGGAACCTGACAAATGAGTTCAGAAAAGATCACCTGTCTGGATTTGGAGTTACTAAAATGACACCACGTCAGAGCAAACGGTGAGTTTGTGGAACATTCATTCCTTACGATCAAATCAATGAAATACCACCTTCTCTGCTCGTCAGCGCCCACCTCCATCCAGGATGCGGCTTGGAGAGAAGATGCCTCTCCAAGGACCACCAACTGAGAGGCGATGCTCCAGTGGCCCGCCCCAGAAGGTGCCTTTATTTGGTCTATGTTTTGTGTCACCAGAAGAGCTTGGTCTCCTATAAAGTAAACCACGAAAGGCAAGATTAAATGACCCTGCTACCCAGTGTTATTGGACGGTGCTCTGTTTAAAGTACTGGCCTGCAGTCTGCCGAGGCTTCTCAGAATAGCCATACATGGTACGATTCTCCTTTCCCATCCTCATTCAAATGATGTTTTAACTGACAATAAACAGCAAGCTTTATAAATAAGCAGAAAGTAGGAGTTGCAGATGTTAGGATGGGTGTAAAGACTGAGAGTTTTATACTCTGTAAGTAGAACTACACCCAAAATATAATTTTAGCCATTAGTCCCACTAAGAGTTAGAAATGACCTTCAGAAGGAGAGTGAAGGGGCGTGGGGGAAGCAGAAATCAACTACCTTTTGGATGTAGCTGTGGATGTCATGGGGTTTCTTCTTGAGCTTTCACTCTTTTCTTTATAGCCTTGCCCTGTGGGTAGGTCTGACCCTCTTGAGCTAGTCTTGTAGTGTACACACTGCTGCTTCTCTCTTCCTGGAATCGAAAGTAACCTTAAGGATGATGGAAAAGGTTCCTTCAATCCAATGCTACAAAAGTAGCAAACATTTTCTGATATTGACCATGTTCCCTGCATACTGTGAGGGAGGAAGATTTTAAATTAACTAAAATAAATAAAATTCTTCCCACATATAAGTAGGCTCAGAACTTCTACTCAAACACTAACAACTCCCAGCACGTCTAATCGTTGTTAGAAAGGTTTACCTCGTATCAAGCCAGCATCTATGTTAATGCATCTTATACCCACTGCTCCTAGTTTGTTGCTGACCCAGTGTCTCGTCATTGTCTTTCAAATATTTATAGTTTTGTTTTTTTTCTCCTTCAGCTCTTCTTCCTTTATGGTTTTCAGACCCTTCAGCAAATTGACCACATGACACTGCTCACACTCCAATTTGTCTAAGTCCCTTTAAAACGGGATCCAGGAACTGGACTGTGGGCTACAAGGGTCTTTATCATTTTACCACCATCCAAACATCAAGCACATTAGTTCTTCTCTAGATGCCATCCTTGTTACCCATGACCACAAGGACAGGCTGCAGCTGTTCAGTAGGCATTAACTGGTGGTGATAAAGTGTTGTGGCAGGCAAATATCTGACACATCTGTTCAGCAAGTCTACAACCCTACAGCTGAGTTCACAAAACTGTAGATTCAAGTAACTCTCAAGTGAATTTGAATTCACCCTGTAAAAGCCAACTTAGATATCTCAAACAGGAGAGCTTCTTGGAACTTGCTGCCCATAGAGCTGGGGGAGCTGACCAGCGATTTGCATCTGGGATATCATGATTTCAAATCTAGAGGTTTAAACCATCATGGATTACACTAGACCATCTGTATGGTTCAGAATAAAGCCATCTGGCAAACCTCTTTCCAACTCCATATTCCAAGTACTTGAATATACACTGGAGATGTGATTTGAGCTTTCTCCTCCCGGCCCCACATTTTCTAACTATCTTTTTATTTGCAGTAGACAACTGGGTCAGAATAGAGGGACTCAGGATTTATTATAAAGGTCACAGATAGAGTTTCAGCATCACAAAAATGCCAAATAAGGATGTCTCTTCTATAGCTAGGCAAGAAGTAGTTTAAGAGAAGATAACTCTGTTTAAATAAGAATTAGTATATTAGAGATGTTATATAAATATATATTACATAGTAATATAATATATACTATATAATTATACATATATATATTAATATTGACATCATATAATGCCTAAAAATGATCACTATAGCTGTGCCACTAGTAGATTAAAATTAACTGAGAAACTCTTTGGCAGAATATGGTTCTTTCTTCACATAACTGTGGGGACACCTGCTTGGATATATGGACAACCATGCAGTTCCTGGAAAAAGGGCATCTGTATGATCTAACAAGCTGAGGCCTTTCTCCCACCTCCCAAAGGTGGATAAACCAGATGTGGCAGCTACACTTGGTCTGTCATCTGGCCATTCTGAAACTGGGCTCCCTCACGTACACTCCCCTTTCCCGCCATCTCACATCCAAGTAAAATGTCATCAATTGCAAATTACCATAGATAGGCTCTCACTGTGGAATCAGGGGCCTGTGTGGGCCACTCAGGGAAGGCCTCTTGCAAGACAGTTATTTGAAAAGAAGTGTAGATATAGAGAGACAGAGTTCCGACACATGGTATTTCTATAAACAAAACTATTAAGCAGAAACACAGCAGGATTAGTTTAATAATAAAGTGGCTTGTTGAGGTTTGGAGTTTTATTATTTCTTTTTAGAAAAAAGAGAAAATTTACAAGATGCAAAGGTCTCACACAATACATTATCATTGATGATTGTTCTCTTTACACCTTAACACGGACCCTGGCTTGGCCAGTGTTGGGAAGAACACGGACAGCATGGATGTATTTGAGACCCATCATGGACACGCAGAAATACACCACAGTGTGAAAGGAGGACTTGATGACAAATGATGTTGGGCCAGCCTGTTCTAAAAGCAAGCCAAGACATCGTAGGAACCCACAAAGCCTTCCTGTGGGGGAGGCACGGGCGGTGCCCTGCTGCCATGTGCATGGGGCACACTCCCCTGTGCTGGCAGCACCCACTTCTTCTATTAGACCACAGCAACAACACAGAAAATGGTAACGCTCCTTTGGTGTTTTTTTGCAGGGCTATTCAGGTTCCCAATTTCTTATTTCCTTCTTCCTTTTCACGATTCAGTTCCAAATTCTTAAAACAGAGTAGGTGCTTGGCATCTTTCATGAATTTTTCAGGATCCAGTTCTGCCCAATGATAATGCACTGAAAAGAACAAAGATAAGACACATAACTCAGAAAAGTCCCCAAATTTGCCTCAAATCCTATTAAAAAATATGACCACTATAACAAAATAGCTGAAGATATCCTTTTTCAAGTTCATACAATGACAATGGCATGACAGTGTTTCACTTTACTGTGAAAAATCTGCCATGTTGTCATGTATAAATCCAAATATCTTCCCACCAAAGAGTTTCCAATTTATTAGAACTTCATTCTCAGAGCTCAAAAAGACACCAAACCAAATATCTGGGAATTAAACAACACACTTCTAAATGGCCTCTACATCCAAGAGAAGTCACGAGGCAAATTAGAAAACATTTTAAAGTGAATGAATATGAAAATACAACATATCAAAATTTGTGATATTCACCTAAGGCACTGCTTAGAGGAAAACTGATAGCATTAAATGCTTATATTATAAAATAAGTCAATAATCTGAGTTTCCACCTTAAGGAACTAAAAGAATAAAAGCAAAGCAAACCCAAAACAAGCAGGAGCAGAATAATAAAGACAAGGACAGAAAGTAATGAAATTTCTAACAGAAAAACTAAAGAGAAAATAAATGAAAAGACCAGTAAAATTTATAACCCTCTTGCCAAACTTACCAAGAAAAAAGAGAAAAGACACAAGTTACAAATATCAGACATCAAGAGGCAACATCAGTACAGATTTCATAGACATTAAAAGGATAAAAAGAGTATATCACAAACAACTTTATGCCCACAAATTAAGACAACATAGATGAAATGAACAAATTATTTGAAAAAAAAATACAAAAGCCTAATTTCCAAATCCTTTCAACAGTGAGGGAGTAGGAGGGGTGGGAGCCTACAGAATGCATAGGGACAGGGAATAAACTAAACACTTGTTCTTGGGACATTTTTAATACTGCTCCAAAGATAGTAGGTTCTTTGGTACAAAATGTCCAAGTGTCTCAAATTTTTCTTTGAAATTCTGAGACTACAACAAAACCTAGCTGGTCTTGCTAAGATTTGGAGGCAGGAATTTATCATCCAAGAGTTTAAACCCCAACCTTAACAGAGCAGTTTCTATTCCCTCAGATCTAAATTCTAATTGAATAAACTTCAGTAAAAGCAAAAGATTCTGAAACAAGAGTTACACAAGGTGATGCCACATCTCTGAAGACGCTGCTGGATGCAATCACATAGGTCACCTTCTTAAGAAAGGGTCACATTATGAGCAGATGCCTGGATGGAATTAACAGCCTTCCATTCCTGAGCCCAGCTTGATAACAAGGTCCATGGGCCCACACGAGAAAGGCTACCCAGACCTGCAGCTAGTCCACATTCTTTGTTCTATCTGGACCTACACAAAGTATCGAAATCTCCCCAGAGGCCTCCCCTCATGCTGTGAAACCCACCTGGTACAGTCTTGCACTACTTCCTAAGAGATATCCGAAAGACCACCAGGGGGTAGAGCATACACAATATAATTCCTGGGGACCATATTACTTCCATTTTTAAGTCAAGAAAAGCAACCCATTTGCTCCTATATTTTAATCAAGAGGTTAACTCAAACCTAAGAACCTGGGGCCTATTAATACCTCTCTCCTTACTTGCAAGACTGATAACTGGAATCCTGAAATTGGTTCTCACATTGACCTTTGGAGAACTCCATCTTCTTAGCAAAGATTAAAACCTTTGTTTTTGAACTTAAAATGAGCTTTGGGATCCTGCTTGAATACATTATCCTTTTACATTTACTCCAATTAAATATTGTACATGTTTTAATGCTTTTGGATAATAAATGTATGCTTCAAACGTTTGATGTGCAGATAGAAATGATAAGGTTTACCTCAGAAGAATAAATGACCTAGAAAATGTTCATGATATTCTGTTAGATGATAAAGCAGGTAACATTATATATACAGTATATCTCTAACTTCGTAAATTAGAGAGATACAGAATTATCTGCTTAGAGAAATGTTATAAAAGCATTATGTTAATAATGATTATCTTAGAATAATGAGATGCAAGATGCCTTTTATTTTCTTCTTGGAGCATTCTGGCATTTTTGAAATTTTCTTTTTTTTTTTCCTGGGGATTTGATTTGCGTTGTCATTCGGCCATCCACAGGATTAGACTTTGGGTTTAGTTTTCAGAAATCTCAGCCCAGCAGCCAAGGGAGATAGGATTTCTTTTTTTTTTTTGTGAGGAAGATTAGCCCTGAGCTAACATCCATGCTAATCCTCCTCTTTTCGCTGAGGAAGGCCGGCTCTGAGCTAACATCTATTGCCAATCCTCCTCTTTTTCCCCCAAAGCCCCAGTACACAGTTGTATGTCATAGTTGCACATCCTTCTAGTTGCTGTATGTGGGACGTGGCCTCAGCATGGCCAGAGAAGCGGTGCGTCGGTGCGCACCAGGGATCCGAACCCAGGCTGCCAGTAGCGGAGCGCGTGCACTTAACAGCTAAGCCACGGGGCCGGCCCTGAAATTTTCTATAATGAATGAGCATTAATTTTGTAATAAAAATGACTTTCAAAAGAAATTTTATAAGAGAAAGATGATTTAGGAATTCCAGTTCCCTCCTAGAGAATCACAGAACTGGAAGGGATCCTGGGAGGTTTCAGCCCAGGGGTTCTCAAAGTTTTTAGGTAAATCACTCAGGCATAGGGACTTTATAAAGCATTTAACCTGAAAGGTTCACAATACGGATGCTCTCAGAATTAACTGTGCTACTACCGGGAGCCCTAATGGACAGACCTAATCATACTATCAACATTAGTATTATGAATGATTAGTTCACAAACTGCATGCAAGAGCCTATTGGCCAGCAGTAGGCACTGGCCACCTGAACGCCACTGCCCCATCATGATACATGGATTGCTCAGTAGATGCTTTTTTACCTCCAATCTCACTTTTAACAAAGGTTCCTTCTCATTTTCTTGAACATAACCATAGAAAAACCGAGGGACCAGACTGCTGGCTATCAACTGGAAGTAGGTGGAGATCATGAAGCTCACACAGCTGGGAGCCTGAACAGAGAGGTGGGAGAGTGCTATCTGTGAGGTCCATTCGCCAGATTAGAAGTGCTGAGTGGAAGTCCTGTTCAAGTGATAAACACATGATTCTCTAAAAAAGGGTGGACCACTGAGGCTTGAAATTTAAACCTGGAGGAGGGGTAATGTGCCTCCCCTGGAGAGCTGTTGAGAGGATGATTTCTATTTCCAATGCATTTTTTGATGTCCCTGTGAGCCAGATGAGCTATCTGAGGGCAGACACGAGCTGCAGGCGGAGG